CGCAAGCAGCGGTGGGGCTTTCCCGTTGGCCACCAAGAGTCCGAGCAACAAAACCACAACGTCGCAGCATAATCACCGCAACACGCACACCTATCGTGTGGCCCACCGAGGCCCGGATTTTTTGCCAAACATGACCATCGTGCGGACCGGGGCTTCCTCCAAGACAATAGGGCACGAAAGTCCAATTCCAACAACTGGACAGAACTACACTGTATGCACCTGCCATGAACGCGAGATGCGAAAGGTTTTGCTCATGGTACTTGCCTGGACGCAGGAATCTAATGTGTGTTTAGGGAGGTGAAAAAATAAAATACGCGCGAGTATACTATAGTACGTACGATATATACGAAGTACTTCGTGAGTGTGCAATTCGCATTCCAGCTAAACGCATGTACGCGAGGGTGTGTAGAATGAATCAACACACCCCCGGTGCGTAACGGGCAAAGCTTAAAGCTGTTCTCGTCACGGACGCAATTGCAAGTGCACATGCAAAGCAATCTCGTCAGGGTACTGACCTTGACCATGTTGGCGAGCACTTTCGAAACGGATACTGGCTGCACTCCGGAGGCGTCCTGAGTACCGAACTCTGACCCATTTCATCCCACCACTTTCGAATTTCGGCACACAAGAACTGCGTGCCGTCGCGCCGAACCTCCGTCCGGCGGTGGTGCAGAAGGAAGAAGACGGGGAGCTTGCAATGCTTATCGCCCTCTCTCGTCGGCGTGTACTCAAAGGGGAAAGATGGCGTTGCTTCAGCTCGGTCGCTAGCCTGGAATGTGAACCCGCACGTGTAAGGTGGAAGACAAACGCAAACGTATCGCGATGTCAACCCTCACGAGCGCTACGCCTTCGTGACTTATGTATTCGACGGCGCATCAAACGGAACTACTGCTGCAACACGGTGAGGTACACACACCGCAGTGTCCCCCTTCACCCTCCTTCTCGAAACAAAGGTCGAACCCACCTCGGGAGCGTCAAAGATGGGCATTTGACGCGGCACAGAAGGACCGAGTGCTGGGCGTTTCTCCTCCCTAGCATCTTGTTCGCGGCGTACAGACGACGTCGGCTAATCGATTGCCCTGCCCCTCCTACTGCTGCGCACCGGAGTCGTGGCGCTTCCGTCTGCTCGCAGTACAGCAGTCGAGAGAAATGTGTAAGAATATTTGGCAAGACAGCCGGCGTTGCTGGCGGAGAAACGACACGACACTTGTGTTGTGGAACTACTGATGCGTGCACAAACCCTTGCCCGCTACCGAAGCAACCAAACAGCGGTAGCTAGTCTAATTGCACAGCGATCATGAGAGACGTTGAGGCGAAATTACTCTTTCGTTTTCACCCGACTTCCGGGGCAACCGTTTGAATTGCTGACAAATGACAAGGGATATATCTTCGTGTGGGGCACATCGCGGGCAACCGTAACCTATGCCGAGACGCGTGTGACCAGGCGTAGCCCTTGGAGGGAGTGGTGGATCAGGACCGTCTTCGCCCCTCTCGAACATGCGGGAGTGGTCCGTGTCTTTCCGGTGGCTGGCCGCAAGTTGTCAACTTCGCCATACAACGGGGAACGACTCTGCCATGGAAGCGTCTTTTTCAGCAACGAAAGCTTCGCAGTGTTCAGGAGCAACACGGGTATGCCCCCCTAAGTTCGCTGCACACAAGGGGTCGTTCACGCAGAGATATTCCCTTCCAGGTGTGGGGGGCACCGACTTGGCGGGATGTGCTGCAGCATGAAGACGTCACGCCAACGATCAAAAACTCTACCGTCACTGACCTCCGAACATGATGACCACGGCACACGAACGAAGGAGTGTGTTGACTGTGTGCTCCGACCCTCAGATGGTCCTGGGGTGCGCAGGGTCGAAGACCCTGCGCACAATGCGTGCGCTTTGCAAATGCACGAAAGAGCAATACCGTCTGACGACGCCAAAAGCGGCAAAATACACGAGGATGGGGGGCCGGGGTTGGTGCCCCAGCGTCCCCTGTGCGCCTCCTATCTTTTTTTTGGGGTACTGCTGTATACCTTTGCAACCAGCGAAGCTGGAGGCATCAGAAGCGGTATCCGGCGGATCGACGGCGGTTTGAAGACCGGCGCTCAAATCGTCGTGCGGGACAGCGCTGAGGGGTACTTGGAGGAGGGGCGCAGAAGCGGTACCCAAAACATCTCCGGGCTCTAAATTCGAAACTCCCGCCAAAGGGGCACGTTGACGGCCATGCGTGCGAAATGTTCTTCAGACGAAAACATGGACGTTTGAGGGAGCATGTCCACCATGTAATTACCCACTACCGACTGTATTTCTAAGATGCAGAGATGCCCATCGGCGTCGGCCTTGCTTGGTGTCGGCCTTTGTCCGCTGCTCCGCTCCGAAAATCTGCCCAAGATCAAGAGGGTGTTTAAAAACAAAAAATACAAACAAACTTTCCACTGGTACTGCAACAACAAAAATATTTGGCGAAGAAAATTTCCCTTGGTTCATGTGTCCAATGTCCCGATGAAATTGGTGGTATCCACAACTGCAAGCGTACAGCGCCAGCTTGCACGGTGCAGGCTCCACAACATTGACCAGCCACTCTCCCATCCGAGCTCCGCACACGCACATCGTCCTCTCAATCTCTCTGGCTGCCCTTCCTTTTCGACCAGGCCTCAAGATAGTCTCGAGACTGGGACTGATTGACTGAAAAACAAGAGGTGGAGGTAAGAGAGCGTTCGATTCTATCTAATAATAGTCTACTGCTGTATGTACGTATTCCGTTCTCCTGGATGTGGTCTGGCTCCCCAGATGAAACGTTGCAATGCTGCTGTCTGCACTGCAACTACTGCTGCTGTGTAGATGCGGGCAGTATGCTCTTGCCGCCCCGCTCAGTCGTAAATTGCACAACAAAGAAGGACGGCGTTCATCATTTCCGTCATGGACAAAGCGGCGGCCGATCTTTCAGTTGGCCTATACTACTGCTGTAGTCTTGTGCTGTTGAAGTGACTGCTGAGCATCTGGCGTGCCCACAGCAAGCAGCCCCAGGAAGAATTGCAGGAAGAATTGAGTTGGGAGACTCCATGAGTTTTGGTTTTGGAGAAGCATGGTGCATGCTTTTGCGAGCGGAAACGTCTGCGTTCCTCTCCGCCTCTGTGCACATGTGGTTGGTGTTCGCCGCCGCTTCCACATCGCAGTTACTTCTGTCAGTTTGCCTTTTTTTTCCTAATTTTTTTGTAAGCGGGTATCGCGGCACGGAGGCTTTCGCGGGGTCGTCGTTCGTGCTGCTCAATTCAATCTCCAGCAGACCGACCGGCGAAGCTTCGCGGGCTGATCAGATTCCGGTCCGGGGCTGTCAAAGGTTGTGTTTTCCACCCAGTCATCTCCCACACTGATGACAATTTTGCTATTTACCACCCGTGGGACACCCATGAGTCACCAAAACTCTAAATTATTTTACGAAGAACTCCTTGAAAGTAGAAGTCAGCCACGTGCGCATGAACATACCTATGTAGAGCTTAGCCACCAGCACCAGCCTACACTGTAGCACGTATGTATCGTGCGGGCTTGGGGTTAGGGTCGGGGTTGGCGTTTGGGTGATGGCCGCTATGATGCCCGTTCCAAAGCATAGTCTTGGGTTAGCAACTTCGTTTGTTCGTAGATATCGTTTAGTCCAATGTACGAGAAGTATAAAGGTTCTCCGCGGAGCTGGTTCAGCGAGCGCGGTGGGCAGATTGTTGCTTCGGGGTAAATGTTTTTCCGGGGCGCTACGTAGAATCTAAAGTATACATACAGTTGGCGCCCGCAGTTAAGAAACGCTTGTTTCAGGTCCAGCCTCGAATTCCTATTGTGGGCTATAAATATAAATATAAACTCAGCGTATGTCGTTCAGTTTCTTATTTCAAGTTTCTTATTTTTTCGTGCAGCCAAATCCTGCTGAATTTCTCAAATCGGCAATTTCTTATTTCTCTGCTTGTCTGCTTGCATACTACACAACGTTCCAAATATACAAATGATTTGTACTGCTTTCCTCGACCCCGTACTCAACCCCGATTCTCACTACCGGCGGCTGCACATAAGGCCACTCACTCCCTAGAAGCGAAATGTACCTAGCGGCAACGTCTCGCTATCGCTACAAGGTCCTGTACTCCCCTCATCATGAGTGAGGGCTGAAACTAAACAAATGCAGAAACACCGCATGATGCCTTACCCGCACGCTGTAGTACCAACAACGAAAACTACCCCGTCATTGTTGCAAGCTCCGTGAGGCGAACATTGCGGGCTGTCACGGCGCCTCCCGCTCCCTTCCTTTCTTATTGAGACATTTCTTATTGTGTGACTCAGATTGAGCTATGTTTCTTGACTCGTTTTTCTTATTTTACGTGAAAAAGTGAGCCTCAATTTCTTAACATATTATTTCTTACCTGCGGGAGCCAACTGTATGGGTCGTTTTTCAAACAGGTATCTACAGCACCTATGCATACAAGTGTTGTCCCTAGCTTTTGATGATGAAGGTTGTCTACAGCAGAAGTACTACCTACTTAAGTACAAGTTTCTCCCCGACCATGCGGTTCGTGTGCTTTCACCGCGTACATACGTGCCAACCCGAAAAAATATCACGCGAGAAAAACAAGTGGAGGTCATGATCCGGACCCTTGGCGATGTCCGCTAAAGCCTCCGTCGGATGCCTTCTTAACCTTCACTTGATACAGCTGCTGGCCCTCTCTTTCTTTGCCTGCTGTGGTTGCCTTTTTACGGGCGTACATGGCAGCAACAGCAGTTTGCATCCAGACGCGCACTACTAAGACGCCACATTTACGGACGGTGCCACTTTTTTTGTCTCTTCCTCATTAAGAAAGCTGCGTTCTGTAGTTTCCTTAGTCCTTTCGTGCATGGGACATGGAGTGGCATAATATCCTACAATAACTACTATGTTCTCTGATTGGGGGCGGCCGCTCTTGCATTTTGTCTTCCTCTGCAGCTCGCACGAGGTTTGAAGCACACACGCACATCGACACCACCGCCACCAACAACAACAACAACAACACCACACCGCAAACGATGGAAGACGACGGTAAGACTACCTACGGCGTCATGGTCGATGCTCCGGAAGAAGACAGCAACGACAATGGCAACCAAGACCCCCCTTCGGTGAGAAAGTCGCGCGGAGTTCATCTAGCTGACTGCTGTGCAGTGTGTTGTGACGGCCGACTGCTTGGCTTCAGTCAGAGTGTGGGTGAAGCTTGGGTTAGGTCTAACCCTAACCCTANGGGGGGGGGGGGGGGGCAAAGTGGGGCAAGACCGGTTTGATTTGCACAGGAAATTTCTGGGCGACACAGACACTAGGTATCTTCCTGATTTTTCTCCAGAACGGTTAAAAACAGTTTCCCTCTCGAGCAATAGGCTAGGCTAAAATCGAACGTTCTGTATTGCCCAACGGCGATCTCGAACAAGGCAACCTCCACACCGACGAGTTTGAACAGGTCATTGACCTCGACCACCCAATGGTTGGGGGATGCGTGAAGGACTTGGGGGCACCTTCACCGTGCCATCAAAGAATACTGTTGTCGCCATCCATGCACAATCTACCAAACTACTGTCAGTTTCGCTAAACCGCCCATGGGGCACCACTTCTTCCTACCTAAAACTCGCCCTGCATGTCGAGCTAGAACTCAGCCATCGGCACATCAACCTAGAACTACGCCAGCGCCAACCTACATAGCACGTATCGTGTGGGCTTGAGGTTAGGGTTAGGGTTAGCATTAGGTGACTTGCCGTGGTAATGCCCGCTGCAAAGCATATGACCCTAGTGTTTAGGAGCACACTCCGGTTGGAGGGCACTCATTGGTCGCGCATGGGCTGCCCATCGGCTTGCTCGTGGGCATCCCCCACGGGCGTTTTATCAACACTGTAGAAAGTGTGGGAGACCCTCCGTGCAAGCGATGACATCGTGAACCCTTGTTTGTGTCGTGCGTGTTTGCATTTCAGCCCGACACCCGGGTGGAGGACATGTCGGACGACGACTTCGACACTGAGATTGCCGATGAAATCAAGGCAGACGTCAGGTGGGCGTGTGAAGTAGTCTAGTCTGGTTCTTACGCCGTTGACTTTGTTGCGTTAGATTGCACAGTTTTCCGGTCCCTCGGAACCCGAATGCCCCCGGCAGACGTCGATCACACCAACATACTTTGAGAGTCATTTCCGTAAGCTTGTTGACTTCTTTCAGAGCTCGTTTTACCGATTTTGGGCGAGTCGCGTGGGTCCTGACAGTTTCGTAAGAGGGTGACATTCTCCTGTTCTTCCGGTCGTAAAAAAACATTTCTTGGTGATTTGCTCTTCACAGGATGTTCTCGGGGTGCCAGGACAAGCAGACCTCGGCGGATGTCCACGACGTGACCAAGTTCGGCGTGCCCAACTCTGACGGCGGCGCAGGGGGTGCCTGCACCAACGCGCTCCTCGTCAACGTGGCAAGTTTTAAGGGCTGCTGCGATGGTTGTCGTTGTTGTTGCTGTCCTTGTCATGGTGTTTCGGACGTGTTTGGCCTTCGTGCTGTCTTTTTCTTATGTAAGAACGTCTCCATTTGGGGCTAACGCCCAACCAGGTATCTGCTTTTGCCTGAATCGCCGCCATAGGTGCGTTCGCCTCCGCTCTCGATCCTGGAAAACACCACAATAGTCGTCGTGCTTTGGCCCCCTTTTGGTCTGTTGGAGCTGTTGTGACTCCTTCCTTCCCCTTTTCGTGCGCTTCTCTCGTGTGTCTTGTGTCTTTTGTTGTTTGTTTTTTGTCTTGTCTTGCAGAACGACGACGAACCCGACTCCTGGATGAGCCTCTTGAAGGGCATGCGCACCACCCTCAGCACCAAGAAGTTCAAGCAGGTAAACCTGGGGTTCGTGTTGCCAAATAGGTTCAACTGTATGATGCGGGTTTACTCCTGCAACCGGTACGCGGCGAGTGCATGAAATATATTTTTGTGTGTGTCCGTTGGTCGTTAGAAACGACCGCCAAACTTCCGCATTCGGTCGACTTTCGTTCCATACCGCTTACGTGGTCATGGCGTTGTAAGAGAACAGGACGCATCGTGAAGAGGGTCTCTCATAAAGCTTACATACGCGAGAAACCGAGTTAATTGAATAGATTGCCTTCTTGAGTGAACATTGAATCGTTTTGGATGACGACAACGACAACAAGATGGCGATGAAACAACACAAGACGGTAGCATTTGCACGAAACCGTCACTGGATTAGTTGGAGATGACCACACGTATGGCTGGGGCGCGCGCGTGTTTCTGTATGGCCGAGAGCGTGGTCCTGTTGCTTTTCCCTCAACCAAGATGCCAAGATAAATTGTTCGCATCTTCATTGTTGTCCGTCCTTCCGTTGTTGACTGCATCTCACCAACAGATTCCCCAGATGGCCACCTCCAAGAAGCTCGACATCCGCTCGCCCTTCTCCTTGGCTGGGGTGAGACAACAGGAGCGAGTATGGTGTATTTCGGCAACTGTGGTACTACACCTACGCACTAACGAGGGCTGTTGCCTGCGTTGAGTGTTCTAGACAACCGAGTCAAATCGAACTGAAGAGGCTAGACTAGACTGCCAGTAAAACATTAAGCCCATGAGCCGGTTCGGAGCAATGTGGATTATCCATGACAGCCCCCCGATGAGAATATCAAACAATGGTTAGCCTGGTGGCCAATGCCCAGGATGAAAGGGGCGCGTTCTCTACGAAGGCTCTGCGACCTCTCCAAGCAGCAGCGTGTTCTCGTACGCAAAGAAATCAAACTAGTGGCGTGCGTCGCGTGCGGAATCTTGGTTCAAGTGAGGCAAGCCTGCAGCTGCTACTTGTACACTGTTTCATTTGGGCTCTCTTTTCGGCTGTGCTGTGCTCAGGGCGAGGGAGGGAAGCACCGGGCCCTCCTCATCGGCATCAACTACGTCGGGGATCCCTCGGCAGAGCTCAAGGGCTGCCACAACGACGTTGCGCAGATGAAGGACTACATCGTGAAGCACGTGAGCTACGAAAACTATACCACCAAATGTTGGTTTCGGCTTATCTACCTAATATTGGTAGTCTCGATGTCTTGTTTGATTGCCACGAAGAGAGCTGAGTAGCTGATAAGGGAGAGCGAACCGCGTAACACTTGAGTATGGTACGCCGTCTTCTATGGGTGAAACATGGCTAGATCGGGGGTCTTGATCGATGGCTCTATTCCTCACGTCTACGCAGGGAACCGTACAAGTGCCTACCTCATGATGCCCCACCGTGAATATGTACTGCATTTAAACTGTTTCAGGGGTATCCTGCTGAAGAAGGCGAAGACCTGAAGATCGTGATGGATGACGGGGAGCATACCGCACCTACCAGGGCTAACATCATCGAAGCCATCGAGTGAGTTGCCGTTGTTATTACAATGAGAGCGACTTGTTGTGTTATTGCTCCACCACCGTCGTGCCCTTCTCTTCGATACCCTTCACGTGCCCCCCGCCCGTCGAAATGTATCGGTTTTGCGCAGGTGGCTCGTCGAGGGCGCCGCGCCAGGCGATTCGCTTTTCATGCACTACTCCGGTGAGTTTTTTCGTCTCTCAGTGGGGCACAGCAGTGTATTTGAAGCGATGTCGGACGGTGGGGCTGTTTCTTTTTTCGTTCCTCCTGCGTGCTGGCCACAGTTATGAGTACCTATGCTGCCGGCTTGGAGAGGGGGAGTACCGGGAGGATGGGGTGGAACAACGGGATTAGGTTATTCCGTGTCATTTTGGTTTTCGCGTGTTTGTGTTCACAGGACACGGCGGGTCTGTGGAGGATACCGACAACAACGAGAAGGACAAGAGGGATGAGACCATGATCCCAGTCGACTACAGCGTGTCCGGACACATCAAGGATGATGAGCTTCTTGCTGAGGTTCGCACCGCGTGTTGGTTTTGTTGGGTTGGGGGTGATCGTGCATGGTGCTTGTTCTTGGCTGTGACGGAAATGCTCTCAAACATGGACTCTTGATATACTAAGAATAATCAATTTCGGTCCTGTACCGCCTAGCCCGCGCCGCAGAATGCGAGTGTTTAATAACTCTTGCTCAGGTGACCCCAGCAGTTACAAAAATACCGCGAAGAAAGCTAGTTTGTTCTGTATGTTTCACGAATCTATTTCTCTATTGCCCATCCTGTACCGCATGTCTGGGTCATTGTTGCTGAGTACCTTTTCCTTTCACTACATGCTCCGCATTCCGACACCCACTATTTTTTTGTTCGCGGGTGTGTTGGCTGCGGCAGTTGGTCCTACCGCTGTCGGAGGGCGTTGTTCTGTCCGTGGTTATGGATTGCTGCCACAGCGGCTCCATTCTTGACTTGCCCTACACGTTCGACGCCGACGAGGGGGCCCTTCAGCTGGTGGACGACCGCGGCTCTGGGGTCGTGCATAAGAACGCCAAGTTCAACATGTCAAAGGTGAGGAGATGAACACAAGCGCTGGTGAAAGACTAGGTCAGATCGAGCGTAAGCGATTGGACCATCGTCTCTTTATAAGGGACAGAACATAATCTCTGGCGCAAATGATGTGTATTTCAGACCGAAACCGCAACTAAGCCATGTCGTAGAGAGAAGGCAGGGTATAAAATGGTACCAAGAAAGTTGTGACCGGACACAAGATATGGGCACTGCATACAATTCGGTCGGCTTTGATAGGGTGACAGCGGGGAGATTCATATTTTCGTGCCGTGGTTTACTGCAAGGGCCCATGTTCGCTGCCCTATGCTGCCCGATGCGCTTGGAACCCACAACAGATTAGGAAAGCGCGCAAGCTGAACCTCAGAGGGCCTTACATGAAAGCCATTCGAGCAAAGGCCGCCGCCGCAGCAGCAGCAAAAGCTGCCGCAACGAAAGCTGCCGCAGCGAAAGCCGCCAGCGAAAAGCAGGAACAGCACGAAGAGCAGGAGCAAGCTCGAGAGCCCGTCGGCGGCGGCACTGCCTTCAAGGTGGGTTCCAAGGTTGCAGCGGCCGCGGCAAAAGCGAGGGCGTCGGCCGCCACCAAAGCCGTTAGTCAGCAGCAGCAAGAGCAAGAGCAGCCCGCCGCCAACGGTGGCATGGCCGATACCGCGAACGACCAACCGCCCTCCGAGGGCGTAGCGCCCAATGCCGCTGTGGTAAGCACTCCGATTTTCCTTATTGTCTTCGAGCCTTTTCATGGCCGCGCTAGTGATTGGCGTTCAAAATCGGTTCGTTGGTGATTTCCCATACCCCACCCATTCCCACGGAACTGCCGGCTTCGATCGGTCGGCAGATTCCAGGAGTCGATTCTATCGAGACTGCTGTGTGCTGCTAAGAGTCAGATCTATTGCATCATACCCACACGTAAAGTGCGTTGGTTTTTTTACTTCTTGGGTCGCTTCGCCTTAAACCTGAGTCCAGGTCCTGATTGTCGACCGAATTTATATTTGAACGCATTCACCATGTTTTCGAGCGCCAAGGGAGATAGACGAGGGAGGTTTGAGCTGCACACCCAAGTCTGGTCCGGTGACCCGACACTCGGGAGAATTCGCCGTCAATTTCCAAATGTGAAGGCCACAACAACAAGAACGAAACCTTGCTCACACTCGTTCCACGCCTCCCTCCCCCACTCCTGGTGCGCGAGCGCAGAAGCAGGCCCCTAAGTTTAAGCTGAGCATCGAGACCGAGGTCATCAAGTCCATGGAAACAGGTAGATACATAGCGCCCGAACCGATGGCGTTCAAGAGCTTCACGTCGTGCGAAGCCGAGATGGAGGAGGACGGACAGGACGACTGCGACTTGTCGATCTTCGTTGTCACGCCATCGAGGTAAGCTTGGTGTGTAGACGTTCATTTTTATCTGCTTTATCTGGTTACACGACTTGAAGGAAGGCTATGGCCTATCCCGCCGCTGAATTCTGGACACGATTGAAGGGAAGGCAGCGATGTATGTATGTTTTCTCTTTGTGATCCCACGTGAAGTTCCAATTCAACATCGTGTCACATCGTCTGCATACTGTTGAAGGTTGAAGTCGCCTGATGATGCGCAAACTATGTTGCGTAATCATGGGTTGTTACGGCAAATGCTGCTCCCATGGGGTGAAGGAGTCTGCGTTCTGTCGTTCGCGCAGTCTTGATGTTTTCCGAAACTTTCTAAATGCGCTGGTTGATTACACAAGTACGGCATCCCCCCTTCGCCCATTCCGAGGTCTGCACGACCTCGGACATCGTTGCCAACGGTGCCTTGGCATTCACAGACATTTGTCGCGTCAGGTCTAGGGAAACGTGTGTTTCTACCACCTGGCACCGCCAGCAATCACAGCAGCAGCGTCGTTTCGGTTTTGCAGTACTAGGGCTAGACCCTGAGTACTCCTCTTGGCAAATGTCGTTGTTCTCAGCACTATTGTCTGCTCTCTGGCATTTGTCGAAGGTTATTGACTAGTAGCGAGTCCGGCATCATTCCGCCCAGTCATACGTGTCGGCGTTGAGGCCTTATCACGTTGATGTTTTCAAATGATGAGATCGATTCCCCCACCCTCCATCCCTGACAGCGTTGACGAAGAGAGCGGCCGCGAACACGCTGCGGGTATCAGCATGCTGTGGGTGGACTCTGAGTCCTCTACAGGTTACAGCATGAAGCATTTGACCAAGGGAGATGCCCGTTTCGATGGCAAGCGTGCTGTGTACGTCGAAGCCATCAAGGTGAACTAGCTCGTGTTACCACCGAAGGAAGCTGTTGATGTCGGTAGCGTACCATAGATTGACGGAAGTCAAGTCGATGTGCAGGTTCAATGGACGCATGTCAATGTCGGGGTGACCATAGCCGAGAACGGCTCGCGCGCATGTGTTTTTGTCCTTCGGTTGACAGGATTGTGTGTATAGCGTATTTAGTTCAACGTTCCTCCATGAGATATACAGCGCGGCAACCAATAGACCGCAACAACACGCCAGAGCATGCTTCCAAACGCTGGCGAATTTGGTCCTGCGTTGAAAGTCTCTCCCTTCGACCTCGCAGCGTGGGTCGAGCTTGTTGCTCCCCGCCAATGCTCCAACCCGATTCTCGAACGTAAACACATATGTATACTCCTGATGAGAGGAGTTACTCGATCAAAACTAAAGAAATCTCGACCAAAACAACCCACTTGCCTGCAGCTAGTCGAAGACACGGCGTGGGTGTTTCGCACAGCACCACCACAACACCACCGCCAATCTGAAGATGTGCGTGTGTCCGCCAATCTGAACATGGGCGTGTGTGTGTTAATGCGGTCCGACAGGGTGAAGGTGAGGAGCCGTTCCTTGTGGCGGTGTTTGCTCCGGAAGACTTCAAGCCGGCAAGCGTGGGCGGCAGCAGCGGCGTCGCCCCTGAGAGCACGGAGTTCGTGGTGTGGGTGTGCGACAAGCTTGCTCACTCCAGGGACGAAACACTCAACTGGACCGCGTGCGGGTCTTTCGTCGGCACCAAGGTGCCAAACCCAGCTTCCCAGACAGCCGAGAATGCAGACAAAATGACACAAGGGCATGTATCCATCCGCAGTTGTATTCGTTGTCGATGATAGATACTCCTGTCATGCCTGCTAGTAACGAGGTGTTGGCATTTGGACCATCCCAACTTCCAAGTCATCGATTGACCGTATCTCCACACCTTGCTGACAACCAAAACATGAACCAACAACGTCAGGTGAAGAGGACATCGGCCACGACCTCTACCTCTGGCGAGCGCCTGGTCATCGTCGAGGCCTTGGACGTGAAGGACGAGGCGCGTGTGTTCTACGGCACCTCTCTAGGCAACGACGACCTACAAATGTCCATGTTCCCCACGCCCCGCGCCATGAGAGCCTCCAACCAGCAGGTCAGACGAGGTTGACCAATCGAACAGGCGCATCGGGAAGAGAGAAGTTTAGCGGTGTTTTTGTCTTTTGCGTTGCAGCTCCGGCATGTTGGTGATCACGTCTGTCGCGTGGTAAATGTTTTCTGCAGCCTAGGGGCGGATTTTCTATGGATGGGGTGTGCTTGGATGTTTCTGACGGTACCTGGTTAACCACAGCCCTACGAACAAGAAGGGACCCTGAAGTGCGCTGTATCCTGTTCACCTTTTCTTTCGGCGCCGGAACCAATAATTCTTCTGGCCGCCTCCCCCTTCCCCACCGGCATCCAGCACAGGACTCTCGCCTATTCCTCTACGCGAGGTTTTCAGTTGCGTGACCTTTGCCAACTCTTCAACCCCCACTCAACCGACTCCTTGTTCGCAAGGTGTCCACCGTGCAAGCTTCCACCCTCGAGAAGGACGGCGAGACTTTCGCCATCGCCATGGCCTTGCCGGCAGCCATCCCCAAGGAGACAGCCGTTGCCGGTGACAGTAGTGACACCTCGGACGACGAGACCGAGATCCGGCCCTGCATGCTCTACGCGCAGTCCCTGAACGACCCAGGATTCTACGCCGGCAGCATCGACATCCCCGGGGACACCCGCTGCTTCATGACTACCCCTGCCTACGTACGTGGGCACAGGCAGCGGCCGGAATAAACTTGTCCTGAATTTCCTTTCTTCATCTGCGTTTCAGAGTGTCCGCTTGGCATTGTTGTTTGCCGGTCATCGGCCCAGTTTGATTGTTCGTTTTCTGTGTTCGGCTCTCGTTTCTTGTTTCTTGTCTCAGAGAGCCACAATGTACATGTCTTTCGTGGACGCTGTGGCATGGGCAAAAAATCCTCCAAACAATGATCCCGCCAAACGTCAACATTTCCCCGTTTGCTGATGATTCCTCTTCTCCCGAACGATGGGAATTTGGTGTTGGCTGCGCTTATCAGGGACTCAAGACAGACGTGTACGTTGCCGGGACCAAGAAAGTGATTTGGTACGACGACAGGTCTTGGGACGGGAGCACCGGAAAAGCTGGGTGAGCAGCTACTGAAATGCTTTCGACATGCTGCGTCGGTGCCACAACTGGCCCAACATATGGCATGAGCCCTGAATCAACTCTACACCGTAGAGGCTGCGTAGCAGGCCTTGCAGCACGTTCGGTTGTTTGTCAACAGGGATGTTTAGCCCGTCGCTGGCCGTGCCACTAGCCGCCGTCATGTTCATGTTGCTATGCGAAATATTGTGGAGTGCGTAGACAAGTGGATTGACAAGCCGGTCGTGTATAAGCCGGCGGAACAACGCCCAGGATAAGCGTGAGGGTGTTGTAGACCCTTTCCCCCTCACCTCGTATCGACTGAGCGTTTAGCTTACTCGCTACTATTTCCCCCCCACCCACGTGTTTTGTGAACAGTGTCTGTTTGAACGCGGTGGACTTCACTTCCCCGGCCAAGGAAATGCGCACCATGATCGACAAGCAGTTCATCAGGCATGTCTTCATCCTGCTGGTAAGTGAAGCCTGGAGACGACTCCTACGTACACAACGGCGCCTTGGTCAAAATATAGATCCTGCTGCTTGTCTTCCAGCAGATGCGGAGCGAAAATCCTAAGCCCCCGCAGAGAAAAGGCAGCCCAATCACATTGGACGGACCTCCACGTGTACCTGGTACGGCTCCGGATGCCCCAAGGGAAGGTTGCACTCCGAGCTGAGTTAGCAAAACACTGTCTTGACCAACCCCTCCGACAACGGCTCACCCACCTGTCCACCACGTAGGAGAGCGGCAAGCTGCTGTACACGTCGCAAGACCCCGAGGAGGGGAGCAAATTCGACGAGCCTGTCGACATTCTGCCCAACGTCGAGGCGTTCAGCTGCCACGCAGACTCCGTCGGAAACGTCCACGTCAATAACATCAACAGTAAGTGCACGCGCGGACGTTTCGTAGTCCACGTACGCCATAGAAGGGTTTCGGAGACCGGTGCTTTGGGACGATCGTGATGGCAGTACACCGTGGGAATTGGTTTTTGTCGGTTGTGACCCATGAACTACGTCGTAGACACTCCCAGGCTGGCCACGTAACACAGATATCAACGACGCAGCAGTTTCTCGACATCACACCCTGATGCGGGAGAAATTTTTCATGAAGCACCACGGTACAGTGGTGCCACACTAAATAATCTCTGGGGCGTACGCGGGACACCAGACAATTGCCTGTTTTCTGCGTTTCCCTTCCTTTTCCAACCCAACCTCCATCGATAACCTGCAGAGGACGGGAACCTTATGCACCACATGATGGACCAAGGCACGAGCCTGTGGATGCAGAAAGAAGTCATGGTGTCTGGGGGAGCCGCTAGGGAGCACCTCATGTGAGTCCTGGCAATCCTGGTCGACGTATGCTGTAGGTATCGACGGCCCGCACATCACTCTTATCGGTCGTCTGACTTTTGAAAGAGCTGGAATTGTGTGTTGCTGTCGGGGCGTGAGTCTTCGAATCGAATGGGAACACCGACCACACCAGGAATATGGCCATCCCTTGTGACTACTGAGAAGAGGAACATGAGTCTTCGTCCTCACCCGTTCCCTGCTTCCGTGCGACAGGACTCCGCAGAGAACCCTGGCATGTCCAACCCAGCCCAACCTTGACTTTGATCCGTGCACGCTCAAACGGACCTGCTCACAAGACTACGGTACCATTGGGTGGTTTGGGTGCCTGTCTTTGTTTTTTTCTTGGAGAACGAGACTTAAGAACATGTCTTCGTCTGTATGTTTGCTCTTGTCACTTGCTCTTGCGCATGAAGATCGGTTGTCGACCTCAAGGTTACTGCCCTCGAGAAGACCTCCGGCAAGAAGACTGCAAACGACCTCATGCAAACTGCGGAAGCGGGAGCCGACCTTCCCGCC